CACTATACCAAAAAGAACTTGTCAACATTCAACCATTTCAAGAGGTAGCATGGGATCAAAAACTAATGGTACTGAAGGAAGAAACTTAAATTGCACTGAAAGGACTAACCAAAAAACAAGGCTCCAGGAATTGATGGAATACCAGTTGAACTGTCTCACCAAACTGATGAAGTGCTAGAGGCACTCACTAGTCTATGCCAAGAAACATGGAAGACAGCTACCTGGCCAACTGATTGGAAGAGATCTATATTTGTGCCCACTCCAAAAAGAGATGACCCAATAGAATACAGAAATTATTGAACAATATCATTAATATCACATGCAAATAAAATTTTGCTGAAGATAATTTAAAAATGGTTGTAGCAAGTACACTGACAAGGAACTGCCAATATTCAAGCTACAGCCTTCAGTATGTTTGACAATCCAATGAAAATAAAACGAAATTACTCACAACTGGGCCAATAAACAATATCATAATAAATGGAGGAAAGATTGAAATTGTCAAGGACTGGTCATGGCAGTCAAGAAATCAAATGACATATTGATTTGGGCAAATCTGCTGCAGAGTACCTTTTTTAAGTGTTAAAGGGCAAAGATATCACTTTAAGGACTAAGTTGTGCCCATCCCAAGCCATGGTATTTTCACTTGCCTAATATGCATGTGATGCTCCTTGGAAACCCTATACAAGCTCGCTATGGGTCGGAATGGACTCGACAGCACTTAACAACAACAGCAACAGCAATATGCATGTGAAAGGAGCTCTGGTAGTATCGGGCTGCTAACCTCAAGGTCAGCAGTTCTAAACTACCCACCGTTCTGCAGGAGAAAGATGAGGCTTTCTGCTCCCATAAAGATTTACAGCCTCAGAAACCCTGTACAGGGTCGCTATGAGTCGGAACCGACTCCATGGTACTTAACAACAACAATATGCATGTGAAAACAGGACAATGAATAAGAAAGATGGAGAAGAATTGATGCATTTGAATTTGGTGTTGAAGAAGAATATTGATAGTACCATGACTGCTAGAAGAACAAACAAATCTGTTTTGGAAGTACAGCCAGAATGCTCCTTTATAAGTGAAGACGGTGGCTTTGGCTTATGTACTTTGGACATGTTATATCAGGAGAGGCCAGTCTCTGGAAAAGGACATTATGATTAGCAAAGTAGAGGGTCAGTGAAAAAGAGGTAGATACATTCCTGATGAGATGGATTGACACCGTGGCAGCAACTATGAACTCAAACTTAACAATGGTGAGGACGGTGCAGGACTGGATAGTACTTCCTTCTGCTGTGCACAGGGTTGCTATGAGTGAGAATCGACTCAACAACATCTGCAAGCTGGATGTGATCCTTTGGAATATTCAATAAAGGACACAAGGTACTACCAGTGTGCATTTTGGGGCAGGGTGAAGAAGAGGAAGAATGTTAACTTGCAACAGGCCAACAGAAGCCAAGAATGTCTTGGAAGATATAGTTTCGCTGTTCTGGGCCCCTATTCTCAATGGATCTACACTGGCACCCCCAGGAAGTAATCCTCCTTCATTTGAAGCCTCATAGTAGTCTTCACTGGGGTCCCTGTCCATCCTTAATAGCCTGAACCCAGTCATGTATGCATTGAGCTGAAACTCCTGGCAAACACTTGGACTCAGGAGTGAGTGGAAATTCCAAAACAGAATGAGAAGCAGATAAAACAGAAAAAGGCAAACTTTTAAAAAGATCTTAAAATCTCACTTTTGAAAAGAGGTGGTTAATATTTATCAAGCCCCAAGCTCTCCTGGGCCTCTTTATCATGCAATGATTCATATGTATAAGGCAAACATGTTGGTCTCCTGTCTTTCTTCCTGTAGATTATATGACCTTAGATAACAAGGACTGAAACTTGTCTGGCTGCTTATAGAGCAACTCCCACAGCAAATCATCGACTGTTTAATTACTCATTTTATTGAACAGAAGGCCTGAGCCTCTCTGTCTTGGCCATCAGTAAAACAGGGTTGGGCCAGTGACTCACATGGTGGCCTTGGGAAATTATATCATTACCTGCCCCAGAAAGGAATGTTGCAGAGATTATGAATGAAGTCATATGGGAAAGCCAGTGATATCTGTCTTTTTTCCCCATTGTCAAAATATATAAGTTGTATTTTCCAGAACCATATTTCTCTAGTTGTATAGTTTTAGTTCTATATGTACATATTAGTCCTTTTCCTTGGCTTTTCCATTCAACTCTGGGTAATTGGTTCTTCTGTCTTTTCAAGAGGGGTTCATGAAAGAGTCCTAATGGTACAACAGTTAAGCACTCAGCCATAAACAGAAAGGTTGACAGTTGGGACCCACCCAGCAACTCTTTCAGAGTAAGCCTTGATGATTTGCTTCGGTAAAGATTACAGTCAAGAAAACCATATAGGGCAGTTCTACTGTACACATGAGGTCACTACGTTGTTGTTGTTGTTAGGTGCCATTGAATTGGTACTGACTCATAGAGACCCTATGTACAACAGAATGAAACACTGCCCGGTCCTGGTCCAACCTCACAATTGTTGCCACACTTGAGCCCATTGATGCCGCCACTTTGCCAATCCATCTCGCTGGGGGTCTTCCTCTTTTTCTTTGACCCTCCACCTTACCAAACATGATATCCTTCTCCAGTAACTGGTCCCTCCTGACAATATGCCCGAAGTATGAGAGACGAAGTTTGGCTCTCCTGGCCTCCAAGCAGCACTTTGTCTGGCTGGACTTCTTCCAACATATATCTGTTGGTTCTTTTGGCAGCCCATGGCACTTTCAATATTTTCCTCCAACACCATGAGTCGTAATTAATTAGACAGCACACAACATATGAATGGACTTAGATAAACACGGGGTCTTCAAAAAGTTCATGGGAAAAATTAATTCTCTTTTAATTGTTTTATCCCCACGAACTTTTTGAAGCTCCTTCGTGTGTGTGCACGTGGCCCTGTAGGATAAGCACTGTACTGCTAACTGTAAGGTTGGTGGTTCAAATCCACTATCTGCTTCTTGGAAACCCTATACAGGGTGGCTACTAGTCAGAACCTACTTGATGGCACTTAACAACCACAACTGTGTAGTTGTGGTTGTTAAGTATATAAACTACATAGTTTATACACTGTAAAGAGCAACTCCCAGAGCAAATAATTGCTGTTCGGTATAGTCAAGTTGTTTACGACTCATAATGACTCTATGTACAAGTGGATGAAACACTGGCCAGTCCTGCACCATCCTCACAATAGTTACGTTTGAAGCCACTGTTTTTGCCACTGTGTCAATCCATCTCTTTGGGGGTCTTCCTATTTTTTGCTGACCCTCAACTACAACAAGCATG